CTGTACGACTTTATAAGTGCAATAAAGAACAAATAAATATTTGAATGGAAAGTAGAGTGCTTAGAAAACGGAAGTGTGCATTTATTTTCTCTTCTCTATCTTAATAATGAATATTTTATTACAAGAAGCAAAATATTATAATGTCTTGTAATTACTTCTAATTACATTCAAATTAGATAACGGATCAATTAATGTCATGTACCTCTAATAAAATATGTGAAACCAATTATATTTTTTTCAAACACCACAAACGTTACAAGTGCTCACGACTTTTTATGTAACGATTGCAATCTACGAGTACCTACAAAATGACGTATTTCTATCCAACGATTTGTTTGACAGTTATTAAACTTACGTGTTTAATATACATTATTTATATTATTAACCGGGTCTTAGGTCTTAACGCGAATAATTTTATGGCACATAAGTCAACTCGTGACCACTGCTAGTGCAACCTAGTCGAAACGTCGAAATAAGTAAATACCTTTATTTGCCATAAAATTATTCGTGTTAAGACCCGGTTATTAAAATAAATAATGATATGTTTAACATCAATTAAATTATATAACATTTTATACTATAACCTTAAAGTAGACAAACATTGCAAACAGGAAAGAAAGATTTTATTAATTTTGGTTTTCATTTCGAATTTTCTTTTATATAAATCGGAATGACAAACAAACTGACAGCTCACCTGATGGTTTACTAACCATAATAAACGCCGCCTATATTCTTGAACAGCACCAGATCGTTATCATATGACGCCCATGATATTACATGCATTGCATTATGGAGTACTAAAAAGCTATGCGTCGTTTGATACCTACATAATAGAACGGCTGGTTGGAAACTCTGTTCTACTGGGTCACGGGCAAGCTGGACGCGGTCCATTGTGATTCAGATATCATCTACGATACATTAAACTACGGCGTCCTTCGTTTAAAAAAGGGCATATCTATTACATAACATACGACACACTTGGTTCAATTAATTTCAATTTATTGCTAGTTAATTTATTAACTACATATTGACTGTTTATATAATATGTATATTGTACGGTTTATATATCATAGATCATTAACTTAATAATTACAATTATTGGGAAATTCACTTTAAAAGTATATTTATATTTTATTATAACTAAAGATTAAAACATAGTACATCAAGTATGCAATATGTAGTAGCAAAATAATATATTATATTATTTAACATTTTATAATTATAACATTTTCACCCTCTAAACGTATTTAGTACGAGTTTCAATAATACTTGGATTTAATTTTTACACAAGATTTGTAATACAATAAATGACAATATTGCATATCATAACATCATCTATATTGTTCACAGCAATATATTTTCAATATATCATATATTTATACGTCCGCAGACAACCGTAAAATAAACCGATAAAACACTTAAAAGTTATCCAAGTCTTGTTTCAAAATACATCCCTGACAATCTAATTTAAAAGTAGCATGCCAATACTGTTCTACTTACCTCAGCAACTTAGTGCTTCTTATTTTTTATAAAAATGTATCCAAAATTAAGTGATACAAAGTTAAATTACTACAGAAAAAATAATATAACAAAATGAAAAAAATGTCTGTACATTATAAATATCGATTAAAAATATGAAGCTCTATTAGAACAGCGGTTCTTAGAATTTTTGATCGTCACTCTGTCTGTTTATATGTTTTACACAAATCTTTGGAATTGGCTTGGAATTTAATGCAAATTTCTGCGATGTACTACTACAGATTTAACTAACATAGACGACATTTTACAGCAGTAAAGTATTCTTATTTCGCATCAAGGACGGGTCGCTAATTTGTCATAAAATAATATCCTAGTATTAGACGATAAACTCATCTAACTCAACATGGACTAATAACCACATCATCCTTTAATAGTTCACTGCACTTCTTCTTGTTCCATAAACAATATTATTATGTTAATGAATTTAGCCATAATTTAGCCATAATCACTGAATTTAGCCATATTTCAATAGACACTTTTTACTTCACCAAAAAGAAGAAACTAGTAATCTTCGGTAATGGCGTCGATAGTCACATTAATAAAGTAGTTTGCTATATAATAGTTATTCCTTATGCAAAATCAATGAAGACGAAAAATAACAACGACGATTTTTTAGATATTATTATAGAATCCACCTCGAGTATACAAACGTACACAATGCACACTTCACTAGAAGCATGAAGCAATCTTAAGGAGCGTGCTGCAAATGTGATTTGTTTACATCGTAGGTCCAATTATATAGTGTTGCAAGAGCAAGCTCCTTAGGAAGAATGTTGGAATGTTTGAAACTTGGCAAAACATTCGGGAGTAAATTTCGAAACAACTAATTTACGAAATGGGAGTCTTGTTGAATGTGATTACCTATGTACCCTAACTTACGTAAGTAAGTAATTGATATACGAGTACATTTTTATGTAGATTACATAAAACTATGTAATCTACAATATCTAAGTTAGCTTCCTTTTTACCTCATTTTCATCTACAGAAATGTATGACAGCCAAAATTTATACTAATATTATACATACGTAAAGTTGGCGAGTTTGTAAGGTTGTAGGGGTTAATCACAATTATTTTATAATAGAAAAAAAAGCACTAATAGGTGCAGAGTTGCAATGAAAAATGTAGCAATACCGGGGAAAAGGCAACGCAGTTGAAGTTTCGCTGATCAGCTAGTACTGTATACATTATTTGGGCTCGTTTTAGTTTTGGTGTAAATATGGCGAAGTAACTTACGACTTACGAGATTGGAGAGTCTAGTCGTATTGGTTCATACGATGCAAAAAGTTTTAAGTTGGCAACCCTGCCCGCTATCGACCTTGCCCCGAACTACTCAGAAACATTTAAACTGTAGTTAAGTGAACTTAGATGCTTTAATGACCGAGGGATTGGTGCGGTGTTTACATTCGCTTGCAACACTGCAAATAGATACCCCCATAGGGTGCATTTATAATTTATCGTACGACATCATTGTACGATGTAGCGTATCCACCCTTAGGATTCCTACAAATGCTGTGAACAACTTTACACACTATGTTGGTTGCTTTCAGCGTAAATGATAAAGCAATATCATACGCATGCATACTATTTTGCATTTCACTGTACCATGTGTTTAAACCCTTTTTGTATATAAATAGTTAAAAAAAATTATAAATCAGTTGAAATACACTCTTACAAGTCAACAGACAACAGTAATAATGTAAAATATATAAAAAGAACCGGCAAATACACACACCGTGACGTTAAAAGCGTAAGTACAAAATCGTGCAATTCTGCGATGATTTTTAAAGTTTATTACAAGTTATCTCATAATAAGTACCTGTATATCAAAACAGTCGCTGTAAATACAACTTCAATAAAGTTAATGACAATTGCAAGATTCTAAGGATAAAAGAAATTATGAAAAAAAAACAAATTTCAAATTAATTTAATATTCCTTATTGATAATCCAAAATGTATTATATTACGTAAAGGTCGCAAATACATGGGAGTGTTACCTCACGTGAGACCCTTGTGATACCTTAGATATCGATATCAACCTTGTTTTCACTGTCCCTATATTGTATTATATTTAATTAGTTGTTAAAAATTAAGTAAATATTTGATCAGATATGCAAAATAATATAACTTGAAATCACTATTCATTATAGTACAAATCCATAAAATTATTTGCACTTTGTGTGTACCTCGTCACTTGCACTATATTTATACTGATGGTTGACCTTTTTCTTAATCACGTTATCATGATTAATCGTCCAGTTGAGTTATTTATTGATGAATTAAAGCATATGGTCTGGTTGTTAAAGATAATAAATAATAAGAGTAATTTTATATATCATTTCTGTTAATACAACATAATACCTATTAGATAAATTAAGTATGTTTTATGTTATGCATTATCAAATTAATGGAATGAATGTACAGAATGGACAATCTCATGAGCATGAAGGATATTATTTTCATTCGAATAGTATAAAAGTTGGTAGTAAGTACTTAGATTAATAATATGTATCATCATCATCATCTCAGCCCAGAAGACGTCCACTGCTGAACAAAGGCCTCCCCCAAATAATCAAAATATATCTATGTATTTACATCAGGTTAGTACCTATAACACAAGCTTTAGCTACCTTAACTTGCGTCTAGATGGCGCTATATGTCCTGAAATTACAGATTACGACTGTTGATCCTAGCTGGTCTTTACAGCTTCACCGGACGAAATAGACAATAGTGTGACATAGACAACAATACTAACTATAGGGGATTGTTAATAACGGGGACTAATGGACCCATTGGTGCCTAAGTGCCATGTTAAGTCGGTTTGATCTGACCTCTTGCTTATCATGCTCCACTAGTGCCACGATAGCTCATACCGTTAGCGCAGGCGGGGACACCATTTCATATTCAGCCATAAAAAAATGTATGGTTGTGGTTACCTAATTATTAATATAATAAGTCTAAACTTAATGTAAACATGCATAAATTATGCAAATAATTGAAAAGTCATTAGGTACATACCTACAATAAGACAAATAACATAAAATCTAATCTAGTGCTTATCTGTCCTTTAAATTATAATGTGTGAATATATGTAGTGAATGTTTGTAAAGATGTTTGTATATTTAAATGTTTGTTACTTACTCTGTAACAGCTTGACTGATATGTAAGAAAGGTATACGGATAGTACATATCCCAAAGTGAGGGGGGGGGGGGTGTTAGGGATGGGGAATAGCATTACTATCAATAGTCCTTCTTGGAAATTAATTCATGGTAAATTCGCCATGATGGGCTTACTAATCCTATCATCCTATCGCTCCCAAGCGTATACCGTTACCATAAGCGTGTACACCACTGCATATACATTTATAAAAGCCTTAAAGAGTAGAATAGTATACTTAATACCAGAATTCGCTCGGCTAACGTTACAGCTTACAACTAATAAATAAAAAAAATGCAGTCTTACCGTTCCCAGTTAAGTCTATCGATGACTCGCGGTGGCAATCCAAAACAAACACAATCCATTCAGCACTATATTGCACTGTAGTTAACACTAACACTATTTAGTGGTTACTGGCACGATCTCAATGCACCATCACTAAACACACTGGCATCCCGATTTCGATCCACGTAACTGCTCCTCAGTCGCGAGAATCTCGACACCTACGGAGACAAAGGAAACAATCAGCATACACTGCACACAAAAACATACATTTTATAGCCGTCCCATGTATAACACATGCCGTTTACATGTAACTAGCGCGTTGCGAGTACGTAGGTACGCGCGGTACAAATGCACGCTACACGAATACTGAACTAAACTAAACCGACCGCGACCGGAGTTAGCGGTCGCAGCGATACAAGTGCGGAATTCAAATCGTGAATTCGTGATACACTGTGTTCTGTAGCAATCATTTGACGCTTCACAGAGCTTCACTAACAAGACAGGCACAAATAACATACGTATCGTAATTATACTGTTTCAATTCAGTGGACTAATGAGTTTTTTTTTTATAAATACAACCGCGCAATGATTAGTCACGAGACACGAATTGGAGATGATAATTATAATTAAAACGTAGTCACGTGACACGTGCAATTAGATAATAGGGTTGTGTAAAATAATAATAAATGTTAGTAACCGATAAAGTTTTCCCAGAGCGTACGCAATCAGCCGGGCGTCACTCTTCGCGCAGCGTGCCCACGGAACTAAAGTTAGAAAGAGATGGAGGGAGGCAGGCGAGCAGCGAGCCGGTGCAACGTGTGCGAGGAGGCGCGGGTAACATGACAAGGGAAAGGGACCCGACAGGAATATGGCTTCCAAAATATTATACAAACATTTTATACCTAAAGGGATAACAAAATATTATTGGAGTACCGGCCTAGTTGAGGTTTTATTCGTGTGTAATATTTATAATGATGGATCAACGTCAGCGCCGGACATGAGTTTAATTGACAAATTAATGAATGTATTTAATGCATTATGAGTATGCTCCGTGCTCATGAGCGCGAGGCGGGCAGCGATAAAACCAATATTTCCTTCAATGTGTGCGTGTTGAAGAAAACATGTGAGATAATAAAAAGTTATGTTTGAACGTTGGACTCGTAAAGTTTATTTGTGTAATACATTCTTTAAACAAACGGATAATTACAAAGCGTTTTATAGGCGGTAACAGTGCTCGTCGGATTCGAATAAATTATTATCGCCATGAAATAAGCATTATATTATTACGATATTTAGGGGTATGTGCATTTAGCTGTAGGATATTGTTAAAATAAAAGATCTCGTTATAAATAACGAAACACTAAAAATAAACTCTTAAAATATATAACCTAATTCCTGAAAGCCGCTAAATAAGCAAATGACTTAACAAGATCGTTTTTTAAAAGTACATCCCGCGAAAATCTAAATGTCTTTCTGTTGTTGACTGCTTTAATATTATGACAAAGAGAATTCCGCGAAGAGAGAAAATTTTAATGGCTGCTTGTCTGAGATATAAATTTAAATGGAAATGTAGTAAATTTTAACAGATACTTATACAACAAAGACTTCTGAGGGCTTCTTCGTAAAAGACGTTGTAAATTTATACCAGTATTAGGTAATATCATTATCTACAATAATATTTATACGCATGTATTAAGGCTCCATGAAAGCAAATACTACGCTTAAATGACTACTAAATTTAAAAAATATTCTGGAATATAAAAGATGTAGGTAGATACTGATGCGTTTCGAATTGTAGTGGCGACGATATTTTTCATATTCTTTTGTTGTGGTCTCCACAGTTGCCTCTTTGTTATGTTACGTAGGAGACTGGCTGAGTAAGGAAATACTATTCGAAAGTCGCTCTTAATTGAACTTTGGTAGTAGATAAATGAGTTATTGCATCTTCAGCACATATAATACAAAATAAAATATATAAAACAATGGTAAACAGTAGTATTAACAAATAAACAAGTGTACAACACAAATGTCACGTAAAGCCTTTATGTTACTGAATTCTGTGTGCTGCACCACCGCAAATATAAACAGTGTAATTGCTGCCAAGGGAGAAAACACAGATTTTCTATAGCCAATACTAGTACTAGCACTCAAAAACTTTGAATGTAATAGAAGAAATTGTATTTAAGGTAAGGGTACCCCCTACCTTCAAAAATAACATTAAAGCATTTAAAAAAAAATACCACGATTTTATTTTCTAAAAAATGTATACATAAAAAGTATACTACTAATCTTATCACAACATACATTCAAGATTCTAAAATACCTTTGTTCCGGAAGAGATAACTTTATCTACAATTAGATAAAGATCTAACGGAAACGATGACGTGCAACCGCACTAGAATACGTTCAACAACAAAAGCCATAATGTGAGTCACTGGACGCTAAAATGCAATTCAAACTTAGGCATGTTATCTAAAAGACACGCTCTCCCAACTAAACAAGCATTCCCAACCAAACAAGCGTTCCGATGGCCAAAACGTCTATTGACATTGTAATCTAACCTCGGCGACAGATAGGGAGTCGAGAGTATGGAGGAGCTCCAACACGTCAACTGGATTTCCAAGGATCGATCCTTTATCCACCGGATAATACCCTGCTTTCACAACCTGATACGAATACAATGCACATAATGGAGCGTAAAAGATACAGGAAACTATAATCGACATGCTTACTTTTAAAGAGTATTGGAATTGTAATAATGCTACAAGTAGAGCTAACAACTGCTTGTTCAAACTTGTATGAGTTATATGGTTTTCTTTGTTATATTTAAAGAGTTGTATTCGCAATAGAAAATAATTTGATAACGCAGAACATAATTTAATGCGAAATAAATGGGTATTTATTTATGTTATACAATAACATAAATCAATATTATATAATAATAATTTAAACCCATTTCGAAACGGTATTTACAATAGAAAACTGTACATAACGCTATCTTAAAGCAGTATGTACCTTAAAGCAGTATGTATGTATCTTAAAGCAGTACCCCCTTATTTGTAAAAAACAATTTTAATATCTTTCATCATCAATATCATTTCAGCCCGAACGTCCACTGATGAACAAAGGCCTCCCCCAAAGATCTCTCCTTTTAAAATCTTTATCATCATCATTACATAGTACAAAACAAAGTTGCTGTCGCTGTCTGTCCCTATGTATTCTTAAATCTTTAAAACTACGCAACAGATTTTGCAAGCGGTTGTTTTTAATAGATAGAGTGATTTGAGAGGAAGGTTTATATATACAATACATGTACACCTGGGTGAAGCCGGGGCGAGTAGCTAGTATAGTATAAAACAAACGACTGTATTCTTAGATAATTTAAATTATTCAATAGAATATTATGCGGTTTTTGGCAATAGACTGAGTGATTCAAGAGAAAGATTTATATATATTATAATAAAGAAAGACCGAGAAATTCAAGGATTTGTAATACATCCTTGCGAAGGCATATCGGTTTGCGTGTCTACCATAATCCAGTATTAACTAGTAGTATTTAGTTACTTAACAATAGGTAACACTTTTTAGTGAAACCAGGTCTAACATATTATTATTATCATTAGAGTGACAGCAATTTGTATTAATAACCACAACTGCAACGCGACACCATAACCATACCCTCAATCATTCCACTCTAAAGTGATTGATGGCGGAGTGTCAATTTCGCGTTATCGTTGACAACCCTGCCTCTGCGAGATTGTTGCATAAATTTACATCCAGATAAAGTTACGGGTCATTATTAATTTACATTACATTTATTAGGATTATAATTATTTAGAGGTACCTATAAATTTTACCTATGATTTAATAAAGATGCCCAAATCAAAAACAATATTATAAAAAGAATACATAATTGTTATGGTAATTCGTAGTATAGATTCATTGCACCTTGATAACAGTCATATCATATATTTTATAAGAGGAATAAAACGATTTTTCGCAAGCGAAACCGCGTGATGTAATAACGTCTGGTACTAAAGTTAGGATTTATTTAAACGGCTTCTCTATATTTTCTCTTTTTCTTTGAAATATAATGATGTTGTTATATGCAAAAGATAAAGAGGAATCTTCAATGCAAAAATAACAAAAAAGCATTTACATTCTCAGTTTATTTATGAATCAGATTTATGTTGATTATACTAAAATGAAAAATATGAATTCGCGGGATAAATAATTTAGCATAGAGAAGAGAGATGTATGATTAGTATCGTGTTGTAGATAGATATTAATACATATTACACAACTGGGGCAATTTAGCTTCAAACCGGTGTACTAACGAAGAAAACAAGACCACATCGTCCCTTCACCGCTCACCCAATCGATCGATAATCGATTAATCGGTAACAGGTAATAGCTAAAGCAATGTAAAAAACTTAGCAGTCTGATTCGATTCGACGTCTGGCTGAATCTGATTCGACGGCTTCGATGGTCTAGCGGTTAAATAGTTGCCTCACTTCCAATGGTCGCGGTTTCGAGTCCTCGCACGTAAACATTTGTATTCATGAGTATGATTGTATATATCGGTTTGGATGCCTTCTATGTATATTCTGTTATGTATTTACAATATAACATGAGAACATGTGTAACACATAAATATGTATTTACAATATAACATGACACATGTGTAAGAAATAAAACATGTACATATTAAAGTATACTATCAGTTGTTTAGTACCCACAATACAAGCTTGGAGTTCGATGGCGCATTGTGAATTGTTCAATGTTTTTATTTTTAATAATCCTTTCTATTTATTATTATTGTTAATAATCTTGTCAATATTTGTTGTATACAGATGTCTAAAACTATGTGGAAAAATCTGTTAGCTTTCCGTACGATTTTGCAATTATTTTCATTTATATAAACATTGTTTGTACAATAACAAACAACACAAAAGTGTTCTCTAAATTGACGTAGCCATTCCGAAATGATGCACTTAAATGTATTTTGTAAATTGTTTTTCTTTATATAGACATTTGCAATACTCAATATGCTCAAATATAAACTGGGTACCTAATCTTCAGGAATGCAGAACAACTCGATATTCTATAAATTGCTTTCCATTTACACATTTTCTTACAAATAATATGTTCACATTTAGAATGAAATTTGTTGCGCACGAAAATAACAGTTAGCTATGAAGTGAGGCGTGTGACGAAT